ATTCATTTGCTGAAAAAATTAGGTCGGCATCACACTGCCGGCAAAAGTTATTGCAGTTCTAGTGACGCTATGTCGCCGCCCGGCCGACCCTGGTCAGGTCGGCCGGGCGGCGGCCGCGCAGCTGACGTCCGTGCGGTTCGGCAGCTGACCAATCAGCTGCGAGAGAGGAGCGCGGTCCGTCTAATCGCCCCCGGAAGTTGCTTGTGCTGAGGGGTGCTCGACGTTCGTGTCGATTGCATTTGTTGGTTGTCGATTGTCGATTGACTTGTGGATATACTTTCTGGTGACCAATAAATGTACGTCGTCTTAACCCTCGCCGGCCGAGGGGGGGGGGGGGGGCGGGTGCCGCCCCCCCCCCATAGGGTTTTTTCGCGATAGCTCCGAACACGCTGGCGATAGAGAGCTGAAACTTGGCATACCTGACCTTTGATCCAAGCCGCATCTTTTGACACCAAACGCATTTTTGGGTCAGGTCAGGTCACTGACCTATGACGTCATAAGTGAACCTCTGCACGGTCTTCAGATGTCGCAACTTCGCAACGCCCTCACTGCCAGAGGAGATGTCACAGGGAAATGAAACTTGCAGGATCTAGTATCCATTATGAGTCCCACAACTTGTATATCTCGGATTTTTCCTAAAGGTCATATGAGGTCAGGTCATTTTCGTGACCTCACCATTATAAGACAATGGGGAAAAATGAAAACTGCTATTCTGGCGCCGGGAACGATCTCCAACCATCTCAAGCACACAGAATCGTGATTTGATGCACTCCTTGCAAGGTTAGATGCGTCACTTTTGCAATGTTGACCTAGCGTGACGTCATTTATGACGTCATCAAGGTCAAATTAGTTTTTCGTCAATAACTCTTGATCAAATTGAGCTAGCGAGTCGGGGAAGGCACCAATGGACTCAGGAAGGCCTGCCGTATCGAATGATATGCGACATGACCTCTTTCGACCAACTTCGTGACCTGGGGGTGCTGACCTGACCTTGACCTGAGGTCAACACCCCAAGTTGACCTGACCCGGACAAAAAGTATATCATTCGACGCGCCTGAGCGAGGCGAACACGATGCTGCCAAAATCGGCGCTCTGCGGCCGTTTTTTGCGAAGTTATTCACCAAAAACTGAACCGTACCTTGGGGCACTTGACCTGACCTCAGAGGTCACCGGTTGACCTAGGACCTTAAAATCGGGTACCAATCTCTGCGTCTCGTAACGGCGCACACGCTCGTTTTTTCCGCGACGCGCTAGCTCCACCAGGGGCGAAACGGCGAGGGGGGGGTCGTACCCGCCCCCCCCCCCTCGGCCGGCACGTATGTAGAAAACCAATAGGCCCGGCGAGGGTTAACTGAATGTAGTCTGATCAAATTCAATAAAGCAAAAAGACATCCAGCCAACAGAGCATCGTAAGAATGTCCGATATGGTTGATAACATTCAGAGTTTTGGGGAGCAGCCATCGACCAGAATGAACCTTATTGGCTTTTGTATGTAACATTTGCGTTGCTTTGGGAAAGTTTCAGTCAGATATCTTCAGAAATGGCAATGTTATCGGCTTTTGCATTTTACCGTAGTCGGTTAATCACAATTTTCGATATTGCAAAGGCAATTTCAGTACGTTCTTGACATCGAAAACCAGAACGAATAGCATCATCGTGTTCCAGAGCTCAAATTGCATCCGATGCACATATCTTTTGTTGAGAATATTCAATTTCAAAATTTGACCTTTTTGACCTCGCCGTGACCTGACCTTCATTTGTCGAATGGAAATAGTTTCGAATCGGACGACCCAGATGACATCATTTTTAGATGCTTTTGCCGAAATGGACCTTCAAAGATGTGTCGCATGACCTTAAAAATGTATACATTTCCTTCCATGACCTTTTCCATGACCTTGTGTGACCCATGACCTTTTCATGACCTTTTGAGACAAAGTTAGGTTTCCTTTTCACTTTTCAGAGTCTCAAGAGTAAATGTATTTTTTATTTAAATGATGGCAAATATTTCGACCCCCATTGAGGAGCCTTTTTCAATGCGAAATTACATGGAATAATAAACGATGCAGACAGTGCAAAGAATGCAAGTTTCACATCAGCAAAGTAATCCTTGTTTTTCACGTGGTCGACATCACAAGAACTTCCATTAAGTCAAAAATTAATATCCTATCTGGCAAAATACAATGAAAAATTAAGATAATTTAAATGACACACACTCACGAAAGTAAAACAGGCTCATTTTGTATACTGTTAAACACTGACACTACCTATGGATTCGCGTTAAGACAACTAACGTCACTAATTACGGGGGCACCGTACCTACCACATCTGACACCACAAAAGTAGAAAAAAGGTTTTGCCCTACTCACTTCATCCAACAGGTCACACATAGCATCCTCGTGTGATTTGATTGGCACAAACTATGATTTTTCCGAAAAACTGATAAACCGCATGATGCGACTACTTCAAAACGACGTCCCAAATGGGGCTCAAATGAACGCCCCCGCTTTTGAAGTAGTCGCATCATGCGGTTTATCAGTTTTTCGGAAAAATCATAGTTTGTGCCAATCAAATCACACGAGGATGCTATGTGTGACCTGTTGGATGAAGTGAGTAGGGCAAAACCTTTTTTCTACTTTTGTGGTGTCAGATGTGGTAGGTACGGTGCCCCCGTAATTAGTGACGTTAGTTGTCTTAACGCGAATCCATAGGTAGTGTCAGTGTTTAACAGTATACAAAATGAGCCTGTTTTACTTTCGTGAGTGTGTGTCATTTAAATTATCTTAATTTTTCATTGTATTTTGCCAGATAGGATATTAATTTTTGACTTAATGGAAGTTCTTGTGATGTCGACCACGTGAAAAACAAGGATTACTTTGCTGATGTGAAACTCGGCCCCCGGTCAACAGACATGGTAGCCCAAATCTAGTCGGATATGAAAATTCTTCTAAATCCATAGACTTTAATGCTAAATTGACTATATTTGAGAGGGTTTTATGAAGATACATGACCAGATACAGAAAAAAGCGAAATGCTATCTTGTAGATTAAATCGTCTACTATCTGCGACTTATGAAGTGTTTTTCAATCTGAGGTACGGAAATCGTGTTCCCAAGAGACTGAAAGTAGCCATGCTTTACATTAGACCCAATGGCAAAAATTCGGAATCTGACGAAATTGGCCATTTTTACGTCTAATTTATGAAAATTCTAGACAGGATATATAAAAACCCGAGATGCTATCAGGTGGGAAATTTCATTGTCTATTACCGCTTTTTGAAGTGTTTTTCGATCTGAGACCGGCAAATCGTGTTCCCAAGAGACTGAAAGTAACCCTGTTCTACAGCAAGACAATGGCAGAATTCTAATATTTGATGGAAGATATCGTAGGTGATAATAACCTTACTACTAATTGCAATGCTTCATTGGAAAGCTCAACACTGGCACTATCATCGGTCTTTGCATTGCTATTTCACAGAACAACAAGAAATAACGTTTTGAAGCTATTGAATATTGACTTACTTTTCATCGACGGGCTCGATCCCCATCGCCACCAACAATTTTCCGGGAAGTCAGGGTTTTGCAGATATTTAAGCAGAATTGCAGAGCTGTGTTAATACTACGGCACTTAAATACACATTTTAAGAAAACTGCTTTTTTTCTTAGCATGAGTTAGGTCTCAGAAACAGCAACATGTCGATATAATGAGGAAAAATAAGTGCAAATGATCGCGCAAAAGGGTATCCTTAGCTCCCTAGCAACCACCTAGCAACGTAAGGCAAAATAGTAAACAACTCCTGTTGATATCAGGTACTCAGCCTTGGAAGCACACTAGACGGTCACCATACTGGGCTTCATACTGAATTTTGCATACCAGAATGGATGTTTCCAACTAAAATTATTTTTTCGCGAAATTTATCTTTGTTGCCCTACTATTTTTCGTAAAACCGAGATATACAAACTTCATGATATCAAAAATAATATTGTGAGAATGGAAACCGCCACATAAAACAAGATAATTGCTGAGATCATGCCTACTAAACTTGGTCCTACCCCCTAATTCAATATACCCTGGTGAAACTTGCATTCTTTGCACTGTCTGCATCGTTTATTATTCCATGTAATTTCGCATTGAAAAAGGCTCCTCAATGGGGGTCGAAATATTTGCCATCATTTAAATAAAAAATACATTTACTCTTGAGACTCTGAAAAGTGAAAAGTATACCATTAACTTATCAACCTGAGTAAAAGATAAAATGACTTTAAAGTCCCATTTAAAGTTAGGTTTCGTTTGTCAGCTATTCCTATCAGAAGCCGTTTGAACTTTTAGTATTGAACGAGTAGTTTCCAAGACAGCAGGGAAGCTATGCAGAAACCCCTCCCGAGTCACCCACGTTATGGGATATACCCGTCATCCGCGGATTACAAGCAAAAATATTTTTTACGGCAATGATGTATCAGCATGGATGCTCATACGTTCCCATATGTGACCTTACGGTTGACTTCACATACAATAAAAATTCCTTGGCAAAATGTCAACTGGTTAACGAGTTATCGCATTTTGGCCACTTCCGAACTCAAATAGCGGCTGTGTGCACTGGCCTGACGCAACGGGCGGTCCACAAAGCGCTCCATCCGGCGACCCGGTACGGTGTCAAACAAAGTACCTACAGTTCGGGTGATCTGCTAAACTCTCAAGTCATGCGGTACAGCCTATACCAGTACCAGGCGGCTGCTGGCTGTGTCGAGGCCCGGGTTAACGGCGAATAAAGAGTCCCTATCGATAAACCTGTCCCCGACAGTAACCTGCTCCCCCCGCATCCGAGGGTGATGGGAAGCATGTGCTGGGGACTGTACCAAGCTCCCCTCGCCACCGACGCCGCCGCCCGCCCGCGGCGGCTGCACGGGACTTGCCCGCACGGGGGCACGGCTGACTCATAAACACGACTGGATCACGTGACCGGGTTTCCTGGGACCGCTGGCTGCGGCTGGGCCGCGCCGGGCCGCCAGTCGCCACCGGCCGCCGTTCAGTCGGTGTTCCGCCGTCCTGTGTGATCTTGTGGCAGGAGGTAGAGCAGCAGGCGCTCGTGAGGGAAACACCAGATCAAGATATGGAAACAGCAAACGGAGAGCAGTCGGAGAGCATGTGAGCCAGCGCTGGGAGACGGGGCGGAGGAGGGGGGCAGCGTGGGTTGATTGGTCGCTCTAGGATCCCACCCCACTGCGCAGTGCGCCCGATAACACGCGCAGTGGAAGGGGGGGGGGCGAATTTCGCCCACCCCTCCTGTTTTTCGCTAATAACTCGCGCCGCAAACGTAATAATAACAAAATAGGTTCACAACGTTTCTAGTAATAGTCAAACATCCTGCCGCCGCGGCGACGCGTCGGCGCGGCAGCCGGCGTCGGCCGTTACGCGCCGCCTGAATTGTAGACTGTGCCGGGGCGGGACGGTTCCGTCTTTACATCGCGCTGGCGCTCGTTACCGCTGATTATGTTTGATTCGCGTCAAATTTTGTTAAAAGACTAAGAAACGTACAGGCAATCCCATGGTGAAAGAATTTTGAAAATCGGTCGGTAAAAATTTGAATTATGAGCGTGTAAACACAAAATTGTGATTGCCGCGTTTCCCGCGTCGGCTGATCCCGCCTCAGCCGGCGACATCTTACTCTTAGAAGGCTTCTAACTGCAATGTTTATTGTTGGATGAACTTGAAATTCACCATACACACTTAGAAATGTACGGTCTTTCGTATAGTGAAAGAAAAATGAAAATCGACCGGTATCTTTTTGAGTTATCGGCGTGTAAACGCAAAAAAAAGTCGCTCATGTGGCAGATTTGACCACATTTGACCTCATTTGACCTTGAAGATATTGACCTAGGGTCATGAAATTCACACACAACAGAGTTTCCCAGTTCCCCCACCTACCCTCCAAATTTCGTCTCTCTAGCTTCAGTGGGAGCTGAGATCTTAGGGGGGGGGGGCGACATTCGCCCCCCCCCCCCTCTTCCACTGGGCGTAGTACTCGCAACCCTTCCACTGCGCGTGTTAAAACCCGCGCCCTGATAGGGGGGCCATTTTGGCCCCCCTGTGGTTTTTCCTAAATATCGAGAAAACGGCGGCGCGCAGCGCCGCCAAAGTTTGAGTACCTTACCGGGCATCAATTTGACACCTTCACACAAAACTTCAAGTCACAGGTTACCTCAGGTCAGGAGTTATTGAGGTCAAACTGAGGTCATGTTCGAGTAAAAATGAGCAAAAAACATGACATCTTTAAACGCTCACCAATTCTACAGTTAACAAGCAATTTTAAAGTTCTTTATGTGGTTGTATAGAGAAAAGACGGCGCTACAAAACTGTTACCTCGGATTTTCGAAATTTTGGAATTTTGACCCCCAAAAATAAAAAAAGATTTTTTTTAGAAAAACTCGAAAAATTTCCAAAAATTTTCGAATTTCGAAAAAAACGGAATGTATGTGATAGTCCCGGCGCTCTTTGATATACATACCAAATTTTAGATCGATACCTCTTTTTTTGGCCAAGTTATAGTGAAAAAACTGTTAAAAATTGATGACGTCAAATTTTTGAACTCAATTTTTAGCAATTCTAGACCTCGTAGCGCAACACGGAGACAACCATTGAACTCCCCGTGACGAGCTGCATCGAATCAATGCACATTTTATGCAAAAATATCAACTTTGAAATTTGACCTAATTTGACCTGACCTTGACCTGACCTTGACCTGACCTTGACCAAAACGTGACCTAAGATAGCCCTAAAGTCTGTCTGACCCACATAATCGCATTTGTCATGTAAAATGGACCATAAAACATGTATCACACGACACTTTCATATTGTGACCCCCCAGTGACCTGACCTCTGTGACCTGACCTGGTATCAGTGACCTCAAATAGCAAAATATGTGTTTGAAGAACATTTCCCCATTGATGATTTTCAATGAAATGCATTTTACACGATTTTACAACGCATTTCTTGAAATGCCTGTAAACGGTGAAAATTCGACCTTTGACCTGACCTGTGACGTCATCGGTTTGACCGATGTCAATGAAATTGGGTCACAAGGTAGTTCCCCGTTGGGGCTATCCAACACCGTTTACCGCTTGTCGCTATGTTGCGTGGTTCTCGAGATCTGAGGGGGGGGGGCCAAAATGCCCCCCCCCATCAGACCGCGTTGTTCGGCTGACCCCATCTGGGCGCGGGTTAACCCGCGCATGACTGGGGTATTTTCCATAACGCGAGTGACTGGGGGGGGCTCTCCAGAGCCCCCCCTCGTATCTCCGAAACTACTGGGCCGATTGTCAAAATTCAAACGGCGTCTGATAGTCCTGGAAAAACTGTCGAGCGAATTCTATTTTTTATGTGGGCGAGGATGGATGACATGATTATTATTAATATAACGAGGCTTGAAATGATCTCACGCATGTCAAAGTGTTTTTATTTTAGGCAAAATAAATATCTAAAACAGTAAAACAAGCTTTCGGCATTACGCCATCATCAAGTTTGAATAAATTAACATGTTTTGGATTTTCAAAAGCTAGAGCACAATCATATTGTTCCAGGCATCCTCATAGCAGCTCACTTTTTTAAACGTATTGCAATACGTTGCAAATAGTGTGGTACATTGCACAATGCACATGGCAAGTAAATAATGTACAACAATGTATCATTACGTACACTACAACATGACATGCACACAATATATCATAGGTACAACATTGTCAATAAATCTCACCTCAACATCAGCCGCATACATCATCAACACCCGGTCAGTAAACATTGACATTATAATCATATTGAAAAACATTGCCGGTGTTCTTAGCTCGATTCCAGTCAACCAGTCGTGAGTCGGGCAAGTCAGTTAGGTGCATGTGTGTGTGCGTGTGTGTATGTGTGTACGTATGCGTGTGCGTGGTAGAGTAAACAAGTGAAACAAAGGGTAGACATAAGTGAGTGAGTGTATAAGTTTGTGAGTGAGTGAGTGAGTGAGAGAGTGAGTGTGTGAGTGAGTGAGGGGGTGAGTGAATGAGAGAGAAGTGTGCGTGTGTGTGTGTGTTATGACCTATGGTTTACGAGCGAGGGGCCATGAGCTTTTCATCATGTTTAACCCTATTAGTGGCAGGGGGGGGGTTGTTTTTATCCACCCCTCAGGTTTTTCGGGAATATCTCCGAAACCGCTGAAGCTACGATGCTGAAATTTTCTGACTTTTCCTAAAACTAAATTGGGCACATTCCCTGAAAATTTCAATTTCATAACTTTACCAGGGGCGGCTCCAGAGTACTGGGAATTGGGGGGTCCTATTCGTGAAGCGGGTCATTTGGGCGAAGATCACGACGCTGCACCAGTTTTACGAACAGTGAATGAAAGGTATCATGTGATAACATATACAGTTATTGTGCATCCTCTTTTGACACGTTTTTGCTATAATAGGCGGATCCAGGCGTCCAAAAAGGGGGGTTATGTTTTACCTCCCAACATAGGTGCCCTGACACCGCCTATGCATGACCAATACAATTGTAGTCGTTCTCTCATAAGAAAATTGTAACATAACAAGACCATTACCACCCTTTTTAGAAACAGTACCAACAAAAACCTTATTTACTATACTTTTTGTGTACCCCCAATCTCAATGATCTGTATCCGCCTATGATTTTTGAAAATGCATATTTTTAGGATCCATGTGAATTCCTGGTTCATTCTCTATCGATCGGCAAAAGTTGCGTTAAGATTGGTTCAAAAACCTGGCCGTGATAAACAGTCTAAAATGTATCTGCAATTTGCCCGTTTTTACCCCCCTCTACCCCCCCTATTGACATTTTTTTTTTAATTTTTATTTTTTAGAAATGTAGATCACGTTGAGCGAAATCGAATGCCGTTTGAATTTTGAAAATCGGCCCGTTAGATCTCGAGATATCAAGGGGGGGTCGTAAACAGCCCCCCCCTGCCACTAATAGGGGGTAGCCAGGAGCCTGCCACTAATAGGGTTAACCCGCGCCCTGCTGGGGGTCCTGGATTTCCACGCCCTGCTGGGGGGGGGGGGGTTGAACACCCCCCCTTCTAACTCGGCTCCTGGGCCACGTAGCGATACGCGGAAGGCGGCGTTCGAAAGAGCGTCAAAAATAATGAGGAAATCACTTCGGTCAATTTTTTGGTCAGGTCAAAGGTCAGGTCACCAGAGGTCATTGAAGGCAAAATTTCGCCGATTTCCAGGTCGAATGTCGACAATTTCCAAGAAGCCAACGCATAACTTGGGAACCAATAGAGCTACAGCGCCGCGGAAAAGCGCATTCGATAGCCCTATTAACGCCCTTTCTGAGTAATGTTCTCAGATTTGACCTAACGTCAACGGTTTTGCCTGCAGGGGGCAAAAACTGCAAAAATAGCCGATTTTTTCGGAAACAGTTTTTCTGCAATAACTTTTGACCCAAGCCTTGTACGAGCTTACTTTTACCGGCATCGTGTTTCTCTCGTCAAGACGCATCGAATGAACTATAACTTGACCTTGAAAGGTCAACTTGAAAATTTGACCTCAGGTCAAGGTCATGACCTGACCGGAAAGGGTCATGTTGCATATCAGTCGATCCGTATCGTGGAGCTGAACACATCTAAGGCGTTTTCATCGCTCTAGCGTGCCTCTATCAAAAGTTATTTGCGAAAAACTGTTAGATACCATTCGTGACCTAAGATGACCTCAGGGCATAAACAGGGGTCACGGACACCATTTTCATGTTCAGTGTGTCTAATGTGCATGTCATGTACATTATATGTCATGTGCATGTAAATGCATGTCACGTCTGCTTGTCCGGGTCATGGTGCATAAACTGTGTCATTCACCTAAAAAATAATTTGTTTTACATAAAAGTCACGTGTTTGCCTCGCGCATGCGCAATTTTCGGACCTCTATGTCTAAAAATAAAGTTTTGGCGAACAAGTTTGTAATGGGTAAATCTTTATGGCGCACCCTGTACATGGAATACAAATACTTCTTCACCTGATATGTACAGAGAGAGAACTTTCTGATCAGCGAATTGGCTCGACAACACAGAAGGCGATACTGGTGCTGCACCTCCAGATCATCAGATTTTGTTGGAACATTGCTCACTTCAAAGCCAAGATATTTATACCTATTCACATAATTAAGCACAGTACCATTCAAGACTATATCTGGTAAAGACATATTTTTAAACAAATTGGGCAGAATAGCCATGCATACCGTATTTTTAACCCGCGCCCCGTAGGGGGGGGGGGCCGAAACGGCCCCCCCTGTCCTTTTCGGTCGATATCTCCTAAACGGCTGGAGATATCGCCACCAAACTTTCAGGACCACTCTGGGCATCGATTTTACACATTGTGACCAAAAATTTTTCCAGAGGCTGTGATAGGTTGGCCACAAATGACGTCAGAATGACGTCATGTTCTGTCATTTTCGACCGAAAAAAGACCTTCGCGAGAAGACCTGTCAGGACTACAGCTTTGAAGATACAAAAAAATGATCAAGATATAAAAGGTGTAGAATTGACAGGGCTACAAAACTGCTATCTCGAATTTTTGAAATTTTTGAGTTTTGACCCCTAAAAATCAAAAAAGCATTTTTTTGGATATATTCGCCAAAAATCCAAAAAGTTTTTTGAGTTTCGAAAACCCCGGAATATATGTGATAGTGCCTACCGTCTTCTATCTACATACCAAATTTCAGATCGATACCTCGTTTTTTGGCCAAGTTATAGCGAAAAAACTGTTCAAAAATGACGACGTCAAATTTTCAAACTTAATTGTTGGCAATTCTAGAACTCGTAGAGCAAAACGAAGACCACCATTAGACTCCCCGTGACAAGCTGCATCGAATCGATACCCATTTTATACAAAAATATCAACTTTGAAATTTGACCTAATTTGACCTGACCTTGACCTGACCTTCACAAAAACGTGACCTAGGCTGGCCCCAAAGGCTGCCTAACCCACATAATCGCATTTTTCATGTAAAATGGACCATAAAACATGTATCACACGACACATTCATATTGTGACCCCCGGTGACCTGACCTCGCTGTGACCTGACCTGGTATCAGTGACCTCAGATAGCAAAGTATGTGTTTGACGAACAATGTACCATCGATGGTTTTCAATAAATTACCAATTTACTCGCTTTCACAGCACATTTCTTGAATTGCCTGTGAACGGTGAAAATCTGACCTTTGACCTGACCTGTGACGTCATCGGTTTGACCTAGGTCAATGAAATTTGGTCACAAGGTAGTTCCCGGGTGGGGCTATCGAACGCCGTTTGAATTTTGAAAATCGGCCGGTAACTTTCCGAGATCTTGGGGGGGGGGCCGAAACGGCCCCCCCCCCCTACGGGTGGTAGGGTCCGCCGGTAGCCCTACGGGGCGCGGGTTAACATTGAAAACAATATCATGTGCATCGGCATATCTAGCACAAATGTCAAGCAATTTTTGCAGTCCTTGAGGCGTTGGCGATAGCAGTACCATGTCATCTGCATAACAAAGGTGATTAACACTGCCCAAATAATGACAACCAGCACCACTACTGTCTAATTTTTTAGACAGCTCATCAATGTACACGTTGAAAAGATATGGGGATAAGATACCACCCTGCCTGACGCCATTGGACACATGAAAGCCTTCCGACAAACAGGTGCCCCACATCACACGAAATGTTTGCGAACTATACCACGAAGCTAATAGTTGTACAATAGTGGCATCAACACCTCGACGCAAGAGTTTATCAAACAAGGTCCAATGGTTAACCCGGTCAAAAGCCTTTCGAGCATCAAGAAAACAAACAAAAAACAGGACTACTGTTTCGAAGATAATGATCAACAACAGTTATGCTTACCTATAACTGAATTAGTTGCTTTTTTTTGCGAAAAACTGAATGGGTTCAACTGACGCCCTCCCCTTCTTTGCTTCTTTGTAGGTGCGAGGTTTAAGTAAAAACTTGTTCACGTTATTCTTTTTCACCTTTGCAGCCTCTCTACGGAAACCATCAACGACGCAGCGCAAAGAGGGGCCCAGTCGCCAGTGGACAGTGACGTCTCGATGCGGATATTGACCGGATCACCTGCGGCCAGTGACGTCTCGATGCGGACATTGCCTAGGTCACCGGCAGCCAGTGACGTCACGATGCGGACCCAATCATCTACGGGCGGTGTGGTCGCTGTCCAGAGGCAGGGACTCTTGACTGAGAAGCAGTTTATATTTCCACCGGGTCATAGCGAGAAGCAGGTGATCATGGTTTTGGAGTACCTCCGAACCTTGGAGAAGCTCACGGTCTCCGTGCCGCCTGACTCGACGGGACGGTGGCTGCGGCTGCTGCCGCCCTCCTTGCGGACGCTATACGTTAACGGTGAGATTTCATTGATGGAACATGTAATCACACTGTTGTGTGGTGAGGATAGCGCTTAGCATTGCTATTGCAGCTACGCATGTAGATTGCAAATATCTGTTCAGCAGGTCCGCTTTCATATGCAATGATACCCAAGCTATTCACAAAAACAGTATGTGATTATGGACTATGTAGGCATTAGCAGCACCACAGCGAAAATGTGTGTTCGATGTAACATGTGTCAAAATCCTTTACCCTCGCCGGACCTATTGGTTTTCTACATACGCGCCGGCCGAGGGGGGGGGGGGGCGGGTACGACCCCCCCCCTCGCCGTTTCGCCCCTGGTGGAGCTAGCGCGTCGCGGAAAAACGAGCGTGTGCGCCGTTACGAGACGCAGAGATTGGTACCCGATTTTAAGGTCCTAGGTCAACCGGTGACCTCTGAGGTCAGGTCAGGTGCCCCAAGGTACGGTTCAGTTTTTGGTGAATAACTTCGCAAAAAACGGTCGCAGCGCCGCGATTTTGGCAGCATCGTGTTCGTCTCGCTCAGGCGCGTCGAATGATATAGGGGAAGCGGGGGTAACACCGCCACTGTGGGAAACACCGCCACCCCATCTGGCGGCGAAAGTATGAAATGTGAAGTGTAAGAATCCGTTATTTCCTATTGACCGCACGCAGGTAAGCGTCTTCTGATTTGTGTTCCGGTGTTTCAGTGTAATCGAAGCTCAATGTGGGCATTTAACCTTCGCCCCAGTGGGGGGGGGGCATATGTTACCACCCTGTCGCGTTTTTTGCGTGTGAATAAAAAACCGCGGCGCGTAGCGCCGCGCCGCTTGGGGTAGCTTTTGGTACATCAATTTTGGACAATGTGTAAAATTTTTGACCCCAGGTCATGTCAGGTCAGGTCACCAGGTCAAGTTAACTGACCAAGCCTAAAAAAAAGTTTGCAATCATGTCCAGCCTGTAATGTTTGTCAGAAAGGTTTTAAACTTGGTGGATTGCATGCTGTTATGGGCACCTACAATTTGTATATCTCGGATTTTTTATATCCGTGACCTAAGGTCAGGTCAGTGGCGTGACCTTTCCATTACAAGTCAATGGAGAAAAATGAAAATGCCTCTAGATCCGTGTGTACGCATAGGAACAGTCCAAATATTTCAGAATCACAATGATTTAGTCCACTCGTGACGACCAAGGGGTCATTTTTGCTGATAGTCTCTAGAAAGGTCATCCGAGGTCATTTGAGGCTACAAACAGTTTTTTGCCAATAACTCGCGATTGGAAAGAGATAGAACGCTGGGGATGGTTTCATTGTGTTTGTCTTGTTAAGACGCATCGACTGATATGCAACATGACCTTTTCCGGTCAGGTCATGACCTTGACCTGAGGTCAAATTTTCAAGTTGACCTTTCAAGGTCAAATTATAGTTCATTCGACGCGTCTCGGCGAGGGGAACACGATTCTGGCAATAGAAATGTCGTGGCTTTTTGTAGTCGAAAGTTATTGTCGAAAAACACTTTTCGTAAAAACGGCTATTTTTGGAGTTTTTGCCCTCTGGAGGCTAAACCGTTGACCTGAGGTCAATATTGATAATGACCTTTTCAAAAGAAGAGTTCAAAAGCTACCGATTGCTGTTCCATGCGTTTTCCTAGCTATCATAGTTCCTGAGATAGCGGCATGTTTTCTGAAAAATACCATGACAATTGGCAAATTTTGACCTTTGATGACCTCTGGTGACCCCAATATTGCTCTAAGGTGAAAAATGACCGAAATACTTTCAAACGTACGCATTGAGAGCTATCGACTACTTTTTACCGCGTCTTTCTAGCCCTCTTGGTTTTTGAGTTAAAGGTGGGTGGTAACATATGCCCCCCCTCACTGGGGCGAAGTTGGCTGAGACCGCCACTGGGGCGCGGGTTAAAGAAAAATGCACATTCTCTTATAAAAATTCGATGAGTTGGGAGCACTTTTGGATGTCTTTAAGTAGAGACTCATTTTGATTCACTTGATTACATCGAAAAATAACTGATCGGCTTTGTCCAGTAAGATAAGTTTGCTTGAACCGTGTAGTACATTCTTATCGCTGGCGATTTTTGCTTGTGATCACTTATTGGGGAACACCGCCACCCCGTGGCGGTGTTACCCCAATTGAGGTTGCGGTGTTTCCTGTTTGTAGCGTGATAAGTGATGAAACTCCAAAGACACGCTTTATTTATGTTCGTAGATGTTCCTAAGTCGGGAATAAGCAGCTTATTTGATTTTTTACTTTATATTTTTCATGCATCCCGACCAAGCACTTGCCAGCTGTATAAAACTGGCAAACAGCTGATGAACCTATACCTATTTAGGTGTCCATTACCGATTATTTGCGAAAATTACCACTTACCGACAGGAAACTAATCGCACACGATCTCTGAACAATTAAAAGCTTTCGTAGGAATGGGTTGGGTTAACATCAACACCGGTGGCGGGGTTACCCACACAATTTGTAGGCAGCAAATATGCAAGGTATTTTTAAAAGTCGTGATACATGAAAACCTTTTAGGAGCATGCAAAATAAGTACCTAAAACACGTGAGAAAATGTTTAAATATTGTAACCAAAACAAAAACTACCAAGAGACTTCACACATATTCTCTCATTTTGGCGAAAAGCTTAGGGGGGCGGTGTTACCCCCGCTTCCCCTACTTTTGTTCGGGTCAGGTCAACTTGGGGTGTTGACATCAGGTCAAGGTCAGGTCAGCACCCCCAGGTCACGAAGTTGGTCGAAAGAGGTCATGTCGCATATCATTCGATTCGGCAGGTCTTCCTGAGTCCATTGGTGGCTTCCCCGACTCGCTAGCTCAATTTGATCAAGAGTTATTGACGAAAAACTAATATGACCTTGATGACGTCATAAATGACGTCACGCAAGGTCAACATTGCAAAAGTGACGCATCTAACCTTGCAAGGAGTGCATCAAATCACGATTCTGTGTGCTTGAGATAGTTGGAGATCGTTCCCGGCGCCAGAATAGCAGTTTTCATTTTTCCCCATTGACTTATAATGGTGAGGTCACGAAAATGACCTGACCTCACATGACCTTTAGGAAAAATCCGAGATATACAAGTTGTGAGACTCATAATGGATACTAGATCCTGCAAGTTTCATTTCCCTGTGACATCTCCTCTGGCAGTGAGGGCGTTGCGAAGTTGCGACATCTGAAGACCGTGCAGAGGTTCACTTATGACGTCATAGGTCAGTGACCTAACCTGACCCAAAAATGCGGTTGGTGTCAAAAGATACTCCGGCTTGGATCAAAGGTCAGGTATGCCAAGTTTCAGCTCTCTATCGCCAGCGTGTTCGGAGCTATCGCGAAAAACCCTATGGGGGGGGGGGGCGCACCCGCCCCCCCCCCCCTTAGGCCGGCGAGGGTTAAGATTATTTATAAAGAATGAAAACTTGCTTCAAAACATATTATTGGAAATAGATCAATACATGATGCTAACCCTTGTAACGTGTTCTCATGATGCAGATAGTTTTGAAATTATCACCAAGAGCGCTCAATACCTACATATATATTTTGACATAAATTGGGATCTATCAAGCTATACGAAGATGTGTGCCTGTATACAGACATTGCCCGTTTCATTTCTATCAGTGACGATTCTCCTGTGTCTGTGTCAGTGTCGGCCGTGTCTGTGTTTGACACCATAATGTCAGTCACCTCCCGACCCGGCGGCAGTTCCGTCCGACTGCAGTCAGCTGACACAGCTCTCTCTCTCTCTCCGACAGGACCGGGGGAGACGGGGGGGCCGCTGACATCGCCGGAGGCGATGTCATACCATGGGCTGGAGGTTGTCATACAACAGGCGGGAGATGACGTCATCGACCAGCTAGCCAAGGAGCTGGGACCACAGGTTAACAAGCTGACCATGTTCAGTGAGTGGCGGTGGCACGGACGGGTTATCGGTATGTGTGGTTAGGTATACTGACGAACACCATATACCTAACTAAGCACGGCAACACCGTTCGGGGAGAGGTGAAACAGGGACTGTGATCAGAGTAATAGTCATGTCAGATACTTTTTGTGGAAGTGTTGTCGCCAACATGGTGTTGGCGACCTGTGGTGAGTGTTCCATATAAATGCATAACCAATCACCAATCACCAGTTATGCGGATGTGTTGTTTCATTTTCTGCTTGGCAGTTCTTCATTAGTAGGCATCATTACTTGTACACAGAATGCATATACAGATAGGTATACATGCATGCGTGTATAGCTACTTCTTTGCAGATACATACATAAACTGTACATACATACATACATGCATACGTACTTACATATACACAAATATACCTACATACAAATAATATTAAATGTGTTCATTATCACTATTTACTGCTCAATATTACCTAACAGTCAGCTCGTATGCAGCATGTAGTGTCATACCTGGCTATGTCTCAGCACGTGCTAGCGAGTAGCGTAGCAGCTCCCACGCCATTCACCTACCATGGCTGTATGTGTCTGTGTTTCCCAGACTGCCCGCGTGTCACTGCTGGGGCCCTGCAGCGACTGATATCTGCCCTCACCGGCCTGGAGGACGTCACACTTGACGGCTCTCTGTCCGGCGCCATCACTGACGCCTCACTGGCCGCCCTCTGGTGACCTCTGGTGACCTGACCTTTGACCTGACCAAAAATTTGACCAAAGTGATTTCGTCATTATTTTTGACGCTCTTTCGAACGCGGCCTTCCGCGTATCGCTACGTGGCCCAGGAGCTGAGTTACAAGGGGGGGGGGTGTTCAAACACCCCCCCCCCCCAGCAGGGCGTGGAAATCCAGGACCCCCAGCCGGGCGCGGGTTATCAAACTGTGCCAATGGGTGTTAACTTGAGATTTACTTACCAAAAATGAAGCAAATAGAAGTTTACGGCTGGCGTGCTCTTAATGTCTGTTCTGTATCTTCTGGATTCCTTTTTTTAAGTCACAGGTACAGCGCGCGCTACAGACCATGGGTGGAGAATGTTTGAAAAAGTTACCCCGGCCGGCGACCGATAGTCGCGGGAAGACGATATACTCACGTTGTTCTCAACGGTCATCATCAAACCCCTATTCTGACGCATGGAATAGGATGCTGTGTTTGCTCAAGGATGAGCGTTGTATCCGACACCGTATTATTCATAACATTTTTGGAATGATCGAAAAGGCAATTTCCTTTTAAATTTTTATTTCTTTTTGCTTAAACTTGCAATTTCACACCGAACCCAAACCAAACCATATGCCATTTTGAGTACCTAAATGTTGCGTTTTCAGCTTTTCATTGTGTCTCAAAATAGCTACAAAAAGACAACTCACCATAGTAGAGGCTTTACAGAGAAATTGACAGATCGAACCAAGCAAAGCACTAAAATAGGTCACTGACATCCACGGGCGTAGCCTTTTTCAATGTTGGGCGGCTCTTATAATACAAACAGGGAGTCGATCCAGGAATATAGACCGGTCCCGGTCTCGTAGCTCAGTTGCTAGCAGGCCCATGTCACTCCTCTTTTGATGACATCATAAGGGGGCCTCAGTACAATTAATGGCGCGGTGCGCCACGATCGCTCCCAAGCTACTGGCCAACAGCTGCCATTTTTGAAAATATTATTTTGAAAATAAGTTTCAAGTAATGAAAATATTGTAATAAAGTTGTAACTTAAATCTATACCATATCTAAAAACTTACTGAAAAATGATTTATCCATAGTAAAAATATAAGCTCGATGCGTTTTTACGTTGCTTTCCTGCTGCTGCAGAGGGTTTTTAAATCGTCTATATCTTCAAAACCGGCCATTTCTTAGCATATTACTGCTCTTTTTTGTCGTTGGAAAATTAGTTAAGCTTGCCATTGACATCAACGGCTGAGCGGTATGTGTAGAGTGCCATCAATAATCTTCAAATGAAGTTAGTCATTTTTACGTTGCTAAGGAATGGAGTACCCCTTGCGAGCATCAGGGGTGACGTCACTCAGGATCTGTCTCTGATTGGTCGGCGGGGGAGTGACTGTACCTTCTATAGATGGCCTTGGTTGCTAGAGCGTTGGATTCCGCGTGGCGAGAGCACGCGGCCCGGTTACAACAGTCCGAGTTCGAAGCATGATGGCCGCTCGGTGTTTATGAGCACCCTGACGGGTACGCTCATAAACGGGTGTGGTTGCGGTTGGTGGCAGGTCAGTTGAAGGCAATGAGGTCAAGCAGTAGTTTTGAAAAAGTGCGCCGAAGACGCGCCAAAATTTCGAAACTGAACAGGATTTGAGAGCAATCAATTGGCATTGGCGACCACACGCGGGTCTTAGGGTTGGAGATTATGGCAAGTTAAGTAAATGGTAAATACCTACCTGATTTGCAATATTACGCCCATGGAAGTCAACATTCGAAGAGCGTGAGTTTTCTTTTCTCGTATGGAGACAGCTTTTAGGATTTACAAGAGTAGAAAAGTTACCCCGGCCGCGCCGGGGTAGGCTGAAAGTTACCCCGGCCACGGCCGGGGTCAAAATGTCAACTGGTTAACGAGTTATCGCATTTTGGCCACTTCCGAACTCAAATAGCGGCTGTGTGCACTGGCCTGACGCAACGGGCGGTCCACAAAGCGCTCAATCCGGCGACCCGGTACGGTGTCAAACAAAGTACCTACAGTTCGGGTGATCTGCTAAACTCTCAAGTCATGCGGTACAGCCTATACCAGTACCAGGCGGCTGCTGGCTGTGTTGAGGCCCGGGTTAACGGCGAATAAAGAGTCCCTATCGATAAACCTGTCCCCGACAGTAACCTGCTCCCCCCGCATCCGAGGGTGATGGGAAGCATGTGCTGGGGACTGTACCAAGCTCCCCTCGCCACCGACGCCGCCGCCCGCCCGCGGCGGCTGCACGGGACTTGCCCGCACGGGGGCACGGCTGACTCATAAACACGACTGGATCACGTGACCGGGTTTCCTGGGACCGCTGGCTGCGGCTGGGCCGCGCCGGGCCGCCAGTCGCCACCGGCCGCCGTTCAGTCGGTGTTCCGCCGTCCTGTGTGATCTTGTGGCAGGAGGTAGAGCAGCAGGCGCTCGTGAGGGAAACACCAGATCAAGATATGGAAACAGCAAACGGAGAGCAGTCGGAGAGCATGTGAGCCAGCGCTGGGAGACGGGGCGGAGGAGGGGGGCAGCGTGGGTTGATTGGTCGCTCTAGGATCCCACCCCACTGCGCAGTGCGCCCGATAACACGCGCAGTGGAAGGGGGGGGGGCGAATTTCGCCCACCCCTCCTGTTTTTCGCTAATAACTCGCGCCGCAAACGTAATAATAACAAAATAGGTTCACAACGTTTCTAGTAATAGTCAAACATCCTGCCGCCGCGGCGACGCGTCGGCGCGGCAGCCGGCGTCGGCCGTTACGCGCCGCCTGAATTGTAGACTGTGCCGGGGCGGGACGGTTCCGTCTTTACATCGCGCTGGCGCTCGTTACCGCTGATTATGTTTGATTCGCGTCAAATTTTGTTAAAAGACTAAGAAACGTACAGGCAATCCCATGGTGAAAGAATTTTGAAAATCGGTCGGTAAAAATTTGAATTATGAGCGTGTAAACACAAAATTGTGATTGCCGCGTTTCCCGCGTCGGCTGATCCCGCCTCAGCCGGCGACATCTTACTCTTAGAAGGCTTCTAACTGCAATGTTTATCGTTGGATGAACTTGAAATTCACCATACACACTTAGAAATGTACGGTCTTTCGTATAGTGAAAGAAAAATGAAAATCGACCGGTATCTTTTTGAGTTATCGGCGTGTAAACGCAAAAAAAGTCGCTCATGTGGCAGATTTGACCACATTTGACCTCATTTGACCTTGAAGATATTGACCTAGGGTCATGAAATTCACACACAACAGAGTTTCCCAGTTCCCCCACCTACCCTCCAAATTTCGTCTCTCTAGCTTCAGTGGGAGCTGAGATCTTAGGGGGGGGGCGACATTCGCCCCCCCCCCCCTTCCACTGGGCGTAGTACTCGCAACCCTTCCACTGCGCGTGTTAAAACCCGCGCCCTGATAGGGGGGCCATTTTGGCCCCCCTGTGGTTTTTCCTAAATATCGAGAAAACGGCGGCGCGCAGCGCCGCCAAAGTTTGAGTACCTTACCGGGCATCAATTTGACACCTTCACACAAAACTTCAAGTCACAGGTTACCTCAGGTCAGGAGTTATTGAGGTCAAACTGAGGTCATGTTCGAGTAAAAATGAGCAAAAAACATGACATCTTGAAACGCTCACCAATTCTACAGTTAACAAGCAATTTTAAAGTTCTTTATGTGGTTGTATAGAGAAAAGACGGCGCTACAAAACTGTTACCTCGGATTTTCGAAATTTTGGAATTTTGACCCCCAAAAATAAAAAAAGATTTTTTTAGAAAAACTCGAAAAATTTCCAAAAATTTTCGAATTTCGAAAAAAAACGGAATGTATGTGATAGTCCCGGCGCTCTTTGATATACATACCAAATTTTAGATCGATACCTCTTTTTTTGGCCAAGTTATAGTGAAAAAACTGTTAAAAATTGATGACGTCAAATTTTTGAACTCAATTTTTAGCAATTCTAGACCTCGTAGCGCAACACGGAGACAACCATTGAACTCCCCGTGACGAGCTGCATCGAATCAATGCACATTTTATGCAAAAATATCAACTTTGAAATTTGACCTAATTTGACCTGACCTTGACCTGACCTTGACCTGACCTTGACCAAAACGTGACCTAAGATAGCCCTAAAGTCTGTCTGACCCACATAATCGCATTTGTCATGTAAAATGGACCATAAAACATGTATCACACGACACTTTCATATTGTGACCCCCCAGTGACCTGACCTCTGTGACCTGACCTGGTATCAGTGACCTCAAATAGCAAAATATGTGTTTGAAGAACATTTCCCCATTGATGATTTTCAATGAAATGCATTTTACACGATTTTACAACGCATTTCTTGAAATGCCTGTAAACGGTGAAAATTCGACCTTTGACCTGACCTGTGACGTCATCGGTTTGACCGATGTCAATGAAATTGGGTCACAAGGTAGTTCCCCGTTGGGGCTATCCAACACCGTTTACCGCTTGTCGCTATGTTGCGTGGTTCTCGAGATCTGAGGGGGGGGGGGCAAAATGCCCCCCCCATCAGACCGCGTTGCTCGGCAGACCCCATCTGGGCGCGGGTTAACCCGCGCATGACTGGGGTATTTTCCATAACGCGAGTGACTGGGGGGGGGGGCTCTCCAGAGCCCCCCCCCCCCCTCGTATCTCCGAAACTACTGGGCCGATTGTCAAAATTCAAACGGCGTCTGATAGTCCTGGAAAAACTGTCAAGCGAATTCTATTTTTTATGTGGGCGAGGATGGATGACATGATTATTATTAATATAACGAGGCTTGAAATGATCTCACGCATGTCAAAGTGTTTTTATTTTAGGCAAAATAAATATCTAAAACAGTAAAACAAGCTTTCGGCATTACGCCATCATCAAGTTTGAATAAATTAACATGTTTTGGATTTTCAAAAGCTAGAGCACAATCATATTGTTCCAGGCATCCTCATAGCAGCTCACTTTTTAAACGTATTGCAATACGTTGCAAATAGTGTGGTACATTGCACAATGCACATGGCAAGTAAATAATGTACAACAATGTATCATTACGTACACTACAACATGACATGCACACAATATATCATAGGTACAACATTGTCAATAAATCTCACCTCAACATCAGCCGCATACATCATCAACACCCGGTCAGTAAACATTGACATTATAATCATATTGAAAAACATTGCCGGTGTTCTTAGCTCGATTCCAGTCAACCAGTCGTGAGTCGGGCAAGTCAGTTAGGTGCATGTGTGTGTGCGTGTGTGTATGTGTGTACGTATGCGTGTGCGTGGTAGAGTAAACAAGTGAAACAAAGGGTAGACATAAGTGAGTGAGTGTATAAGTTTGTGAGTGAGTGAGTGAGTGAGAGAGTGAGTGTGTGAGTGAGTGAGGGGGTGAGTGAATGAGAGAGAAGTGTGCGTGTGTGTGTGTGTTATGACCTATGGTTTACGAGCGAGGGGCCATGAGCTTTTCATCATGTTTAACCCGCGCCCTGCTGGGGGTCCTGGATTTCCACGCCCTGCTGGGGGGGGGGGTTTGAACACCCCCCCCCCCTTCTAACTCGGCTCCTGGGCCACGTAGCGATACGCGGAAGGCGGCGTTCGAAAGAGCGTCAAAAATAATGAGGAAATCACTTCGGTCAATTTTTTGGTCAGGTCAAAGGTCAGGTCACCAGAGGTCATTGAAGGCAAAATTTCGCCGATTTCCAGGTCGAATGTCGACAATTTCCAAGAAGCCAACGCATAACTTGGGAACCAATAGAGCTACAGCGCCGCGGAAAAGCGCATTCGATAGCCCTATTAACGCCCTTTCTGAGTAATGTTCTCAGATTTGACCTAACGTCAACGGTTTTGCCTGCAGGGGGCAAAAACTGCAAAAATAGCCGATTTTTTCGGAAACAGTTTTTCTGCAATAACTTTTGACCCAAGCCTTGTACGAGCTTACTTTTACCGGCATCGTGTTTCTCTCGTCAAGACGCATCGAATGAACTATAACTTGACCTTGAAAGGTCAACTTGAAAATTTGACCTCAGGTCAAGGTCATGACCTGACCGGAAAGGGTCATGTTGCATATCAGTCGATCCGTATCGTGGAGCTGAACACATCTAGGGCGTTTTCATCGCTCTAGCGTGCCTCTATCAAAAGTTATTTGCGAAAAACTGTTAGATACCATTCGTGACCTAAGATGACCTCAGGGCATAAACAGGGGTCACGGACACCATTTTCATGTTCAGTGTGTCTAATGTGCATGTCATGTACATTATATGTCATGTGCATGTAAATGCATGTCACGTCTGCTTGTCCGGGTCATGGTGCATAAACTGTGTCATTCACCTAAAAAATAATTTGTTTTACATAAAAGTCACGTGTTTGCCTCGCGCATGCGCAATTTTCGGACCTCTATGTCTAAAAATAAAGTTTTGGCGAACAAGTTTGTAATGGGTAAATCTTTATGGCGCACCCTGTACATGGAATACAAATACTTCTTCACCTGATATGTACAGAGAGAGAACTTTCTGATCAGCGAATTGGCTCGACAACACAGAAGGCGATACTGGTGCTGCACCTCCAGATCATCAGATTTTGTTGGAACATTGCTCACTTCAAAGCCAAGATATTTATACCTATTCACATAATTAAGCACAGTACCATTCAAGACTATATCTGGTAAAGACATATTTTTAAACAAATTGGGCAGAATAGCCATGCATACCGTATTTTTAACCCGCGCCCCGTAGGGGGGGGGGGGCCGAAACGGCCCCCCTGTCCTTTTCGGTCGATATCTCCTAAACGGCTGGAGATATCGCCACCAAACTTTCAGGACCACTCTGGGCATCGATTTTACACATTGTGACCAAAAATTTTTCCAGAGGCTGTGATAGGTTGGCCACAAATGACGTCAGAATGACGTCATGTTCTGTCATTTTCGACCGAAAAAAGACCTTCGCGAGAAGACCTGTCAGGACTACAGCTTTGAAGATACAAAAAAATGATCAAGATATAAAAGGTGTAGAATTGACAGGGCTACAAAACTGCTATCTCGAATTTTTGAAATTTTTGAGTTTTGACCCCTAAAAATCAAAAAAGCATTTTTTTGGATATATTCGCCAAAAATCCAAAAAGTTTTTTGAGTTTCGAAAAACCCGGAATAGGTATATGTGATAGTGCCTACCGTCTTCTATCTACATACCAAATTTCAGATCGATACCTCGTTTTTTGGCCAAGTTATAGCGAAAAAAACTGTTCAAAAATGACGACGTCAAATTTTCAAACTTAATTTTTGGCAATTCTAGAACTCGTAGAGCAAAACGAAGACCACCATTAGACTCCCCGTGACAAGCTGCATCGAATCGATACCCATTTTATACAAAAATATCAACTTTGAAATTTGACCTAATTTGACCTGACCTTGACCTGACCTTCACAAAAACGTGACCTAGGCTGGCCCCAAAGGCTGCCTAACCCACATAATCGCATTTTTCATGTAAAATGGACCATAAAACATGTATCACACGACACATTCATATTGTGACCCCCGGTGACCTGACCTCGCTGTGACCTGACCTGGTATCAGTGACCTCAGATAGCAAAGTATGTGTTTGACGAACAATGTACCATCGATGGTTTTCAATAAATTACCAATTTACTCGCTTTCACAGCACATTTCTTGAATTGCCTGTGAACGGTGAAAATCTGACCTTTGACCTGACCTGTGACGTCATCGGTTTGACCTAGGTCAATGAAATTTGGTCACAAGGTAGTTCCCGGGTGGGGCTATCGAACGCCGTTTGAATTTTGAAAATCGGCCGGTAACTTTCCGAGATCTTGGGGAGGGGGGCCGAAACGGCCCCCCCCCCCCCTACGGGTGGTAGGGTCCGCCGGTAGCCCTACGGGGCGCGGGTTAACATTGAAAACAATATCATGTGCATCGGCATATCTAGCACAAATGTCAAGCAATTTTTGCAGTCCTTGAGGCGTTGGCGATAGCAGTACCATGTCATCTGCATAACAAAGGTGATTAACACTGCCCAAATAATGACAACCAGCACCACTACTGTCTAATTTTTTAGACAGTTCATCAATGTACACGTTGAAAAGATATGGGGATAAGATACCACCCTGCCTGACGCCATTGGACACATGAAAGCCTTCCGACAAACAGGTGCCCCACATCACACGAAATGTTTGCGAACTATACCACGAAGCTAATAGTTGTACAATAGTGGCATCAACACCTCGACGCAAGAGTTTATCAAACAAGGTCCAATGGTTAACCCGGTCAAAAGCCTTTCGAGCATCAAGAAAACAAACAAAAAACAGGACTACTGTTTCGAAGATAATGATCAACAACAGTTATGCTTACCTATAACTGAATTAGTTGCTTTTTTTGCGAAAAACTGAATGGGTTCAACTGACGCCCTCCCCTTCTTTGCTTCTTTGTAGGTGCGAGGTTTAAGTAAAAACTTGTTCACGTTATTCTTTTTCACCTTTGCAGCCTCTCTACGGAAACCATCAACGACGCAGCGCAAAGAGGGGCCCAGTCGCCAGTGGACAGTGACGTCTCGATGCGGATATTGACCGGATCACCTGCGGCCAGTGACGTCTCGATGCGGACATTGCCTAGGTCACCGGCAGCCAGTGACGTCACGATGCGGACCCAATCATCTACGGGCGGTGTGGTCGCTGTCCAGAGGCAGGGACTCTTGACTGAGAAGCAGTTTATATTTCCACCGGGTCATAGCGAGAAGCAGGTGATCATGGTTTTGGAGTACCTCCGAACCTTGGAGAAGCTCACGGTCTCCGTGCCGCCTGACTCGACGGGACGGTGGCTGCGGCTGCTGCCGCCCTCCTTGCGGACGCTATACGTTAACGGTGAGATTTCATTGATGGAACATGTAATCACACTGTTGTGTGGTGAGGATAGCGCTTAGCATTGCTATTGCAGCTACGCATGTAGATTGCAAATATCTGTTCAGCAGGTCCGCTTTCATATGCAATGATACCCAAGCTATTCACAAAAACAGTATGTGATTATGGACTATGTAGGCATTAGCAGCACCACAGCGAAAATGTGTGTTCGATGTAACATGTGTCAAAATCCTTTACCCTCGCCGGACCTATTGGTTTTCTACATACGCGCCGGCCGAGGGGGGGGGGGGGGGCGGGTACGACCCCCCCCTCGCCGTTTCGCCCCTGGTGGAGCTAGCGCGTCGCGGAAAAACGAGCGTGTGCGCCGTTACGAGACGCAGAGATTGGTACCCGATTTTAAGGTCCTAGGTCAACCGGTGACCTCTGAGGTCAGGTCAGGTGCCCCAAGGTACGGTTCAGTTTTTGGTGAATAACTTCGCAAAAAACGGTCGCAGCGCCGCGATTTTGGCAGCATCGTGTTCGTCTCGCTCAGGCGCGTCGAATGATATACTTTTGTTCGGGTCAGGTCAACTTGGGGTGTTGACATCAGGTCAAGGTCAGGTCAGCACCCCCAGGTCACGAAGTTGGTCGAAAGAGGTCATGTCGCATATCATTCGATTCGGCAGGTCTTCCTGAGTCCATTGGTGGCTTCCCCGACTCGCTAGCTCAAATTTGATCAAGAGTTATTGACGAAAAACTAATATGACCTTGATGACGTCATAAATGACGTCACGCAAGGTCAACATTGCAAAAGTGACGCATCTAACCTTGCAAGGAGTGCATCAAATCACGATTCTGTGTGCTTGAGATAGTTGGAGATCGTTCCCGGCGCCAGAATAGCAGTTTTCATTTTTCCCCATTGACTTATAATGGTGAGGTCACGAAAATGACCTGACCTCACATGACCTTTAGGAAAAATCCGAGATATACAAGTTGTGAGACTCATAATGGATACTAGATCCTGCAAGTTTCATTTCCCTGTGACATCTCCTCTGGCAGTGAGGGCGTTGCGAAGTTGCGACATCTGAAGACCGTGCAGAGGTTCACTTATGACGTCATAGGTCAGTGACCTAACCTGACCCAAAAATGCGGTTGGTGTCAAAAGATACTCCGGCTTGGATCAAAGGTCAGGTATGCCAAGTTTCAGCTCTCTATCGCCAGCGTGTTCGGAGCTATCGCGAAAAACCCTATGGGGGGGTGCGCACCCGCCCCCCCCCCCTTAGGCCGGCGAGGGTTAAGATTATTTATAAAGAATGAAAACTTGCTTCAAAACATATTATTGGAAATAGATCAATACATGATGCTAACCCTTGTAACGTGTTCTCATGATGCAGATAGTTTTGAAATTATCACCAAGAGCGCTCAATACCTACATATATATTTTGACATAAATTGGGATCTATCAAGCTATACGAAGATGTGTGCCTGTATACAGACATTGCCCGTTTCATTTCTATCAGTGACGATTCTCCTGTGTCTGTGTCAGTGTCGGCCGTGTCTGTGTTTGACACCATAATGTCAGTCACCTCCCGACCCGGCGGCAGTTCCGTCCGACTGCAGTCAGCTGACACAGCTCTCTCTCTCTCTCCGACAGGACCGGGGGAGACGGGGGGGCCGCTGACATCGCCGGAGGCGATGTCATACCATGGGCTGGAGGTTGTCATACAACAGGCGGGAGATGACGTCATCGACCAGCTAGCCAAGGAGCTGGGACCACAGGTTAACAAGCTGACCATGTTCAGTGAGTGGCGGTGGCACGGACGGGTTATCGGTATGTGTGGTTAGGTATACTGACGAACACCATATACCTAACTAAGCACGGCAACACCGTTCGGGGAGAGGTGAAACAGGGACTGTGATCAGAGTAATAGTCATGTCAGATACTTTTTGTGGAAGTGTTGTCGCCAACATGGTGTTGGCGACCTGTGGTGAGTGCTCCATATAAATGCATAACCAATCACCAATCACCAGTTATGCGGATGTGTTGTTTCATTTTCTGCTTGGCAGTTCTTCATTAGTAGGCATCATTACTTGTACACAGAATGCATATACATATAGGTATACATGCATGCGTGTATAGCTACTTCTTTGCAGATACATACATAAACTGTACATACATACATACATGCATACGTACTTACATATACACAAATATACCTACATACAAATAATATTAAATGTGTTCATTATCACTATTTACTGCTCAATATTACCTAACAGTCAGCTCGTATGCAGCATGTAGTGTCATACCTGGCTATGTCTCAGCACGTGCTAGCGAGTAGCGTAGCAGCTCCCACGCCATTCACCTACCATGGCTGTATGTGTCTGTGTTTCCCAGACTGCCCGCGTGTCACTGCTGGGGCCCTGCAGCGACTGATATCTGCCCTCACCGGCCTGGAGGACGTCACACTTGACGGCTCTCTGTCCGGCGCCATCACTGACGCCTCACTGGCCGCCCTCTGGTGACCTCTGGTGACCTGACCTTTGACCTGACCAAAAATTTGACCAAAGTGATTTCGTCATTATTTTTGACGCTCTTTCGAACGCGGCCTTCCGCGTATCGCTACGTGGCCCAGGAGCTGAGTTACAAGGGGGGGGGGGTGTTCAAACACCCCCCCCCCCCAGCAGGGCGTGGAAATCCAGGACCCCCAGCCGGGCGCGGGTTATCAAACTGTGCCAATGGGTGTTAACTTGAGATTTACTTACCAAAAATGAAGCAAATAGAAGTTTACGGCTGGCGTGCTCTTAATGTCTGTTCTGTATCTTCTGGATTCCTTTTTTTAAGTCACAGGTACAGCGCGCGCTACAGACCATGGGTGGAGAATGTTTGAAAAAGTTACCCCGGCCGGCGACCGATAGTCGCGGGAAGACGATATACTCACGTTGTTCTCAACGGTCATCATCAAACCCCTATTCTGACGCATGGAATAGGATGCTGTGTTTGCTCAAGGATGAGCGTTGTATCCGACACCGTATTATTCATAACATTTTTGGAATGATCGAAAAGGCAATTTCCTTTTAAATTTTTATTTCTTTTTGCTTAAACTTGCAATTTCACACCGAACCCAAACCAAACCATATGCCATTTTGAGTACCTAAATGTTGCGTTTTCAGCTTTTTATTGTGTCTCAAAATAGCTACAAAAAGACAACTCACCATAGTAGAGGCTTTACAGAGAAATTGACAGATCGAACCAAGCAAAGCACTAAAATAGGTCACTGACATCCACGGGCGTAGCCTTTTTCAATGTTGGGCGGCTCTTATAATACAAACAGGGAGTCGATCCAGGAATATAGACCGGTCCCGGTCTCGTAGCTCAGTTGCTAGCAGGCCCATGTCACTCCTCTTTTGATGACATCATAAGGGGGCCTCAGTACAATTAATGGCGCGGTGCTCCACGATCGCTCCCAAGCTACTGGCCAACAGCTGCCATTTTTGAAAATATTATTTTGAAAATAAGTTTCAAGTAATGAAAATATTGTAATAAAGTTGTAACTTAAATCTATACCATATCTAAAAACTTACTGAAAAATGATTTATCCATAGTAAAAATATAAGCTCGATGCGTTTTTACGTTGCTTTCCTGCTGCTGCAGAGGGTTTTTAAATCGTCTATATCTTCAAAACCGGCCATTTCTTAGCATATTACTGCTCTTTTTTGTCGTTGGAAAATTAGTTAAGCTTGCCATTGACATCAACGGCTGAGCGGTATGTGTAGAGTGCCATCAATAATCTTCAAATGAAGTTAGTCATTTTTACGTTGCTAAGGAATGGAGTACCCCTTGCGAGCATCAGGGGTGACGTCACTCAGGATCTGTCTCTGATTGGTCGGCGGGGGAGTGACTGTACCTTCTATAGATGGCCTTGGTTGCTAGAGCGTTGGATTCCGCGTGGCGAGAGCACGCGGCCCGGTTACAACAGTCCGAGTTCGAAGCATGATGGCCGCTCGGTGTTTATGAGCACCCTGACGGGTACGCTCATAAACGGGTGTGGTTGCGGTTGGTGGCAGGTCAGTTGAAGGCAATGAGGTCAAGCAGTAGTTTTGAAAAAGTGCGCCGAAGACGCGCCAAAATTTCGAAACTGAACAGGATTTGAGAGCAATCTTGGCATTGGCGACCACACGCGGGTCTTAGGGTTGGAGATTATGGCAAGTTAAGTAAATGGTAAATACCTACCTGATTTGCAATATTACGCCCATGGAAGTCAACATTCGAAGAGCGTGAGTTTTCTTTTCTCGTATGGAGACAGCTTTTAGGATTTACAAGAGTAGAAAAGTTACCCCGGCCGCGCCGGGGTAGGCTGAAAGTTACCCCGGCCACGGCCGGGGTGGCCGGGGCACCCATGCTACAGACGACGATCACAACTTCCTGAGTTGTGAAACGGTAAAGGATTTGGGACAGCACCTACTACTCAGGTAGGCATACACTGTAGACAGTAGACAACCACAATATTTCAGTTCCATCCATCATACACTATACGTATACACTAACTCATTAACCCGCGCGGGGCTGGGGGGGGTAAATTTTACCCCCCCTCGCGAATTTTTGCGATATCTCAAAAACGGCGGCGCGCAGCGCCGCCAAACTTTCAGTACCTTTTCTTACATCAATTTGACACGTTCCCTGAAAATTTGAGCGAAATCCGTCGGAAAATTTTTGAGAAATTGACGTTTTAGTGACGTCATGTTCGCCATTTTCGCCTCAAAAACGGCAAAAGTTCAAACGCCGCTAACATCTTCATTTTTAAAGGAATCAAGACGTAACAAAAAAGGTTATACGTAATATTACTTTGTCTATCAAATGGCTATCTCGGTTTTTTGAAAATTTTGGATTTTGGCCTAAATTTTTTCAAAAAACTGATTTTTTTGGGAACTTCAAAATTTGACCTCACTTGACCTGACCTTGACCTGACCTCGACCTGAAATTCATCCAGAGGTGGTCCATATCACTTACACTGTAAACTCATTTTGACAAGGGGTTGTCGTACAACGACAAGCATTTGTCGATAATACTAATAAAGGTTATGTCGAACAATGGATATCTTGTCATAATTGGTTGAATCAACAGGGCAAATATAAGTATCAGCCCCAGCACCTAGTTGACCATTCATACCATTGATAAGGATTATGAAGGCTATTGTGAAAACTACCAGGGGCTTATTCGTAAGATGGAACATATATTTGCTTATCATTTGTAATTCATACCATTGCCAAAAAAATCAGCCACACCTTTGCAACAGTACTTATACGAACTTATGAAGTCTATGTTTTTGTCAAAGGTATCAACTACACCTTTGCAACAAAACTGATACAGACTTGGCTACGCTGATTAGACATGTGGTATGTGACAATCACAAAGTTGTTACTTGTTAAATGTGGCGCCAAAAATGTTGTCCGCCATTTTCCACGACGCCATTTTCATGATCTGCACTGTGCAGCAGTTGTGCATGATTCATCAAGTATCCAGCAGCACACATGACACAACTGTGAAAATGGTAAGTAATAAAAGTGTTTGTTTTCTTGTGGATTTTTTAAAATGAAATGTATATGTCTATGAACTGATGGTAATGCAGATTTCACTTGAGAAATGTGCGGAACAAGAGTGATATATCATCTAAAGACCAAAATTACAACAGCACCAGCACCATTGCAGTCATGGATCATTGATCAAAATCTGCAACCCTCTGTGATGACTTAATCTAAATCTTCATTAAGATTCACTAAAAATAAAGAGGTGGGTGATAACTATACCTATATAAGGGCCTGCGGATGATGTGTCACTGCTGAATAATTGGTGGGAATCTTTTCAAGAAAAAATGGGAAGAATGGAGTCTTTCCACTCAAGGGTCCAATCTAATAAAATTATGTACATCATTATATTTGCTGCATTGGGTTGCGTGCCATATGTGCTCGCCTGCCTGTCCAATCACGTTTCACAGATATTTACAGGAAACTGTTCACCTGCCATAAATGCATTCTCTATTCATTTTGGTTAGAATTGGACTGAAACTGATCATAATGGAAAATTAATAGAAACTACGAAAGTTTTAAGCGGGTACAAACTACAAGAAACAAATGAACAAATTTTGCCGCATGGCGGGTATTAGGCAGGCAAAGCAGAAACAACTATTTCTATAAATAGTTTTTAAAATGCACTTGCAAAAGAATTACTTCAGCAAACAAAAACAATATTTTTCACAGAAAACAAGCTTGAGGTAAAATACAAAGCATATCATTAAAAAAGGATTTTATAAGGTAAGGCGAAAGATGCACAGGTATGCATGTCTATGCACGTCTACGCACGTCTATGCATGAGAAACTATGCACAGGGGTTGGCTGACGTCAAGATGTGAACACATTGGGGAGTTCTGAAGCATTTATGAAATAGTATTAGACAAAGGCTTGAATTTACTAGTGTAGCAAAAACACCTCAGTTTGTAGCAAACAGCTTAGAACAAGGCATTTCTTGGATTTGTGTGCCAAATAACACTACTTTCATGGCATTCAGAGCAATGTATCATTTTGACCTAAAATTGCTGCAATTTAACCTCACTTTATGTCCAAATCACCTCAGTTTGTGGCAAAACTCCTTCCGATACAACTATAACTAGTAGAATTTCCCCCTACCTAGTAGAATAGATCCAAACCACAACCACAATAGTATTTATAATATTAAATAGCATTAATAAGGGCCCTGTTTCGTTATCCCGATGCTGCATACGCTGGGAGGGTAGGTATACCAGCGCGTCAGGTTTCCATGGAAACATAACAAACTCGGACGCCTCGCAATGCTGAAGAGTGAAGCGTCAAGCCCCATTCGTCTTGAATGCCGCACCAGCGCGCTGGTGCGCCAGCACACCATACTAAAATTTAAAATACCAAATACTACTTTGCATACTAAAATTTAAAATTGTCAAGGCTAAAACTTAAATTGATTAGCACTAGCAGTCTAGCCTGTAAATATCATGCCAAAGGATAGGTATCTCAGTCACGTTGAAAGTTGTGGAGCCTATATGCAAACTTATGATGGTTCACCGTTTCTTATAGGTATCTTGGGTTCACCATTCGCCATCATCGGTAGAGGCTTGCACACCTGTTGCACACGATGACTGATATCAATCGCTCGTTTGTCAGCTAGATAACTTCAGAAAAATGTCTGTTGCTATTTTCCTTTGTCATATCCCCTTCAAATGAATCTCACCTGGTCATTAGGAGAACACCCTACAGTTATTTAAGACACGAGTTCAATAATTATTTCAGTCAGTAACAAAAAAATACTACCAATAGGCTTCATAAAATATTAATGAATCTAAATTGGAGAATTTCTTAGACAATTTTGGCAAATCCCGCCACATATGTGTGCCAGAACTCTGTTCGCCCCCCGTTTATTTATCAGCAGGCTGCGAGCATGCTGCTACTTCTTGGCTCCTCATTGGTCGAATTCAAGTGATCTATTCGTTCAAATCGTAGGGGCTCACCTGATTCTGAATCTTAGATTATAGATTAGCCCCGCGTTCGATGTCTCCCGGACGACGAAGATTCTATGCCGTCCGGGCCCAAAATGCCGTTCGATGTCGCACGGACGGCAAAGATTCTACGTGACGTCACGTAGAATCTTTGCCGTCCGCGCAGAATCTTTTGAGCGTACTACGGTGGGCAGAGAGGCAATGATGGCGCGTATTTCAAAAGCGGCGCAGCAGCTGTTTGCAGAAGTTGTTGACATTTGTGCGCGGTCTCTATGGAAACGT